TTCTTATATATGTCACGGTGACAGCGGTTCGCGGTTCGCAGGTCAAGCGCGGCTCTGTCGCTGCCAGGGGTGGTTACATGTGCACTGGGGTCGTTTGTGCACACGCCTCCATTTAGGCTGTGCGGCCAGATGAAATCGGTAGGTGTCTTCCGCTTGCATACAACCAGACCAGGCTTAGGGTGCCCCTCTAGCAGGGGAGAGCAGGGAATTGCCTCGGGAAGGAGGCCACTGGTGAAGCTTAACCACCCTGTAACAACATCAACCAGACCAGTCGTGAACGGGTGAGCTGTGGGTGACACCGCTGCTTTGCTGCTAAGGCAGCTCCTGCTGCTCCGTCACTCGGCATCATACGATGTTGCCCATGGCCAGCGCGCATCATATGCCCACGCCAAGAATGGTGCATATGGCGACGGTTTAAGAGGCACATAGGGGCCCGTGGGGTAGAGTTACTAATCATACATTACTTGAGTGATGGCTGCTTGATGCGCCGCAGTCGGCCAAGGGTCCGCCCAATTATCTTCATACAGACTAAAGGTTTCCTCAGTTTGTACGGACGGGAGGTTTCCTTGACGTGCTGTGTTTACTGCTTATGGGCGGCTCTATGGATGCAAGGATTTCCGGTGTTTGGTACCTGCTGGTATGGCTCTGGTGCATGGCGCAATCCTGTCGTGTGCAATGTGGGCAGCGTATAATAGGCGAGGTTCACTTGGGTGGGGAACCTGGGTGTACTTTAGCGCAAGGATATGCTCGACGATTACACCTGGCAAATGGAATGGTTGAAGCACAGGGTCCCGTTTATGATGCATTAGGACACAGCATCATCAATTCCAGCAGCAGGGCCATGGTGTTTTCGCGGCTTCCAATATTCACGCGTACAAATATTAACTGGTCAATCACTGCCACTCACCAACTGTTTCTGGTCAACCGCAATCAGTGAAATAGCCCCGCGGTGCACGTGCACCATTCAGGCATCCGCAGCAAATGAAAGGGTTGGGCGGCCAGGCAAATCCCAACGATGAAGTAGAATAAGGTGATTCAATGCAGCATGCCGTAGTCAGAGATCCAGCTTACCACCACATTATACCTTCAAACCTTTACAGATGTACAAGGAGTGGTGAGATCATCGTGTACATAGCACTACCTCCATCACAAGCAAAAACTGATGCATGAGAAAGAGCAAATGCCATACAGCACTCCATGCACGGACGCAGCCCTGATCCTTGAGTGCACCCCAAACCCCACCGCTGCAACTCCTGAAAGGAAGCACTACCGCTGCTTCATCAACTCGCCTGAACTACCTTGTTAGGGATGCATACACGGGACGACATGTCACGACATTTTAGCGTCACATTCATTTTACCGTCATGCACTGCGAAACACTCCCATTGCGACGCTTCATCATAAAGAGAATGTATTTGATATCATTGCCCCCTGCCATGACGGTAATCAAAACACCACTGAACAAGTCACTCTCACACTCCGACTACTCCAGGATTCTGCCTATCACCCAACACGTCCACATCCAGCCTTGGCTCAGCACATAAGCACTAGGTTGGGCCTACATGCTGCTCCTTCCTTGGCCTGGTAAACACCAAGCCAGGGATTTGCACCACAGCACTTGGGCTCCTACATGTGTGAGTGTGAACCTCACAGGGCTCCACCAGTGATCAGCATCCCGCAACCATATCAACTTCAGGCAGTTTATACATTAACCACGGAAGGAGTGAAGGAGAACCCTTGTCTCCCCTAGGCCTGCAATGTGTACTGGATGTAAAATGCTGTTTTCCTTGGCACCAAATTTTTTTATTTTATTTATCGAAATTATGCCCTCCCACAGCCGTAGAAACCGATTTGACAACCTCTGTGGGGTACACATGTTTTGCTGACCAGTACAGCCAGTACAACATATAACATCTTGTCTTCTTTGGTCTTTTGCAAATAGGGGGGTCCTTGTGAAGCAGCTGCCCGCGTTTCCAAAGCCCGTATGGTGTTGGATTGTTAGGTGCCCAAGTACGTTTGCGAGGAAGAGAATGTGGCCAGGCTGGAGAGGAAAGTGCAGTGGCATATTGGAATGTGAGATTAGCGTAAGCGAGTTACAGGGCGTTTTATTGCACGGGCGAATTTACGTGCAAATCTTTCACCGTAGCATCAGTCCTCAGTTCACTTCATGGAACGAACATCAGCATAGGTCCAAGCCCTCTCGCTTGGAGGGATATGCAAACAAACATCCTGATAGGGGTAAACTCGCACGCTACCGAGCATTCAACCGAGCACATGCATGCTTAGTTGAATGGTGAGATGCGCCCCCCCCTTCATTTCGTGCTCGGCAAGCCTGCCACCGTGTACCGGATATGTTGGCGATGTTACAGAACGCTGCACCTTGGTTTCTGTGCGCATTGCGTACGTTGCTCGACCCCGCCGACCAAAACTACACGTGCCCAACTGAAGACATTCCCGGTGGTTGTGCAGCATCTCTTGAGGCTGTTGCTGGCTGAAATCCATCCTGAGCTGTTGCAACACGGCTAAAGCGGGCACGTCCCTATGCACAGCAAATAGCTGTTCCAAGCCAACAGCGGCGTCCATGTCACCGACAAGGCTCTAAACGTCTTATCTGTTCTTATGTTTAATTAAGTTTATGTATGTCATACTTTGCGCAACTTTGTAATTTGACTTTACTCTGAACAAGGTGCTGCATACAACTGCCTCGTCGCCAGCGCTTCATCTTCCGCGGCAGTTTCACGAGCCCAGAGTTGCAAGCTAGGACGTTGGCATTAGGTGCTTTCAGTTACTGCAAAGCATCCACGCAATAGTCCAGCATGCATGCCGCGTGCGGCTATGGCCAACATGCCCACTTGCGCAACGCGCTGGCGCACGTGGTCCTCATCCGCCAAGAAAATTTATATACACTTGTACAGGCGCATTTTGTGAATCGCACGCGCGCATCTGCGCGGCAAAATTCGCTCCTGGCTTTTTTGGGACGATGTACGAACACTTTATTCGCGAAGTACGACCGGACACATTTGTGCGAGGGGCTGCTTAAAAATTCTGCCAGGTGCTCCACGTCACTTATTCCAACACGGCTTGAATACATAAGCCACACTCCTTGGGTTCTGATCAGAGCTTAGGTGCTGCTGCAGCTGCAAAATGCAACAAACGCAATGCTGATGGCGACTTGCAGCCGTAATATTCCCGTAGATGGTTTTCCACTAAATATTTGGGGTCGACGCAGCTGAAGCAGAACCTGCGAGAACCGGTGGTGTTGGTTGGCATTTGGCGCAATGACGCCAGATTACAGGCAGCGTATGTGCACTGCTGTGACAGAGGCTGGCCTGGACTCTGCTGGGCTAGATGAAGAGGACTTGGAGCTACTGTGGGCAGCCAAGTACCGGACTGCTGCACGCCTGCGTGCAGCTACACATGCATGGGAAAATCTCATTGAAGTGCATCTGGCGCCTGGTGTGGTGGATGCCATTTGGCAGGCCCTAGGTAAATTCTAAGCGTGGTTCCTGTGCCACCAACTAGTCCATCCTTTGCCGAGGAGCCTGTGTTGCATAGACTCCTGCTCATGGTGGTTGCTCTCACTGCCAAGATATCAACTTTAGCATCTTGGATGCTGCTGTGCACACATTGGGTGGTGTGGACTATCAACTAGGGTGTCAACTAGGGTGTCAGAGAAGTTTTCTCCTTAGGAGGGGGTTTCTGTCCTGTCTCTGGTATTGTAGCCTGTCTGCAGTATCACAACCAATAACTTGCAAGATGTAAACAATAACTTGCAAGAAAGGTTATTGCTGTGATGGATGATTTTCCTTAACAATAAACCCTAATATAGGCATTGTTTGTATGGTGACTTTAGAACAGTGTTTCTAGTCTTTGTGGTTGAGAGTAAATCGGATGTACAACCTTTCTCAATAGCACACTGAGCTGCAGCTGCTGGTGGTGCTAGCTTGGGTAGTTCCCTTCACAGGCATCGGCAAACTTACTGAGAAAGTCCTTCATGAGCTGCAGCTTGCTGGCCCCCTAGCACATGCACATGGTTGTGTTTCATCCATTTTGCATGCCTGAACCTGCTGGGAACACAGATCTGCATGTTGTACTGTGGAGGCTATGGTTAACATTTTCCATGGATGGTCACAGCACAGTGTGTATGTTACATATGCAATATCCATGTGGAGCCTGAGGTTTGACATGCACCTGATGGGGTGTTGGATTGTCGGGTCACATGCTGTGAGTGTGGGGCCTTCATTATTGTGCTGCAGCGCTGCAGCATCATGCTAGCACTCCCAGGCACCTTGGTGCTGTTGTGAAGTACATCATTGTTGACCACTCATGGAAATAAACTGCTGCTGTCTGCAAGTATTTCTGCAGACCCCACCCCACATTTTTATCATGCATGGTTTGTGTGGAACTGCTGGCCTGCATGGTATGCACCTTCTGCCTGCCTCACTTCGTGCAGGTGCTGCTGCTGGTGCGGACCCACAGCTAGCACTTGTCTAGCTTACCTAGAAGATCAAATATAGCGCCTCTTGCGGACTAAACATTAAACGGCTGCATGTTTAGAGCTGTTTGTACTTTTGAACCAAGTGCAGTTTTCATGGCCATGTTATTAGCAACTGTGCTTATCAGCCTGGCCCAGGTGGTCTAAGAATCATCCACAATTTGCTTGTCTATTGTGTTTTTGATGCTGCATTCACAGGCTCTGCTGAGTCCACCCTCCTAGAAGCATTGTACAAGCTTGTTAAGGAGAAGCTTGAGAAGCAGAATGAGAAGCTTGAGCAGCACAACGAGAATCTTGTTAAGCAGAACGAGAGGCTTGTGAAGCAGAGCAAGAAGCTTGAGAAGCAGAGCAAGAAGCTTGAGAAGCAGAGCAAGAAGCTTGAGAAGCAGAACAAAAAGATGATTGAGGCCAAAGCTCTTCTGGAGAGGCGCGCCTCTCAGGAGATTGTCAAATATAGCGCCTCTTGCAGACTAAACATTAAACGGCTGCATGTTTAGAGCTGCTTGCACTTTTTAACCAAGTGCAGTTTACATAGCCATGTTGGTAGCAACTGTGCTTATCAGCCTGGCCCGTGTGGCCTAAGAATCATCCACAATTTGCTTGTCTATTGTGTTTCTGATGCTGCACTCACAGGCTCTGCTGAGCCCACCCTCTTAGAAGCATTTTACAAGCTTGTTGAGGGGGTCAAAGAGGACAACAAAGAAGCAGCTGCAGTGAAAAGCTTGAGAAGCTGAGCAAGACGCTTGAGAAGCAGAACAAAAAGATGATGAGACCAAGGGGATCCTCAG